TAGTAAATTAAATGTTTATATACAATATATACATATTATATATATTTAAACTATTATTATTATAAAAACTAATATTAGTAGAGATCTAAAAAAGGGTCTGCAAAAAGGTCTTGTCCAGGGACTTATCAAATACTTAGTATATAAATTTAGAATTAATATAGATATACCTATAGGGTATATCTATAATTTTTATATCTATTATTTTAATTACACAAATGCTATAGGGGTTATTTGTACGTATGACGATATAATGTACAAAAATAGCAATTTCGACATTGTTTGCCGAATTTGATACAAAATAAAAGTTTGATCACATGAAATCAAATCTTTTCGCTTAAATACAAAATGCTATTATTCATTAATCTGGCACTTACGAACTAGTTTATTGTATAATTTTGCTTTTTTTTACCTTACTTTAACTTGTTTGCGTATTTTATTGTTTCTTGTTAGGTGAAGTGTTCAGTTTTATATTGGATAGTTTCTTTTTAAACTTTATCGAATCTCTTTGCTTAAATGCAAAACGCTATTATTCATTAACTTGGTACTTACAGATTAATTTATTGTATATTCCTGCCTTTTTTTTTTACCTTACTTTGACTTGTTTGCACATTTTCTTGTTTCTTGTTGAGGAACTTTTTAGTTTTATATTGGATAGTTTCTTCACAAATTGAGAACTTCTTGTTTCATACCAGTTAGTTTTATAATCACATTTTTTTTTAACCTTACTTTGACTTCTCTGTGCATTTCTTATTTCTTGTTAGGTGAGTTTTTTAGTTTTAATTTGGTTAGTTTCTTTTTAAACCCTTTACTGAATTAAGATTTATGCCAGCTTGATTTATAACATCCCTTGGCTTCTAAAAACTAGTTAAAAACCATTATGTTAGAACTACGTTTTTATAAAAATAGAAAGAGAAAATGACGGTTTTGAGCTTTTTGAAATGCCTTTTTCAAATATTGCAGCATAGTAAGTAAGCCTTTTTTTTGAATTTAGTTTTTTATTCATAACACTTTCAAGTTTACTTTCAAATAATCTCCAATTAAATTTCAAATAATAAGCAACAACGATTCAACCAGAATAAGCAAAAATAGCATTATACCTTTTGAAGAGCAATTTTCAAATATTATTGTACAGTAAGTCACATCTTTTTTTAATTTTATTTCATTCATATCATTTCAAGTATGCTTCTAAATGCCAAACAATACTGTTTAAACTAGAACAAGTAAAGATGGTTTTGAATCTTTTAAAGAGCAATTTTTAAATACTGCAGTATAGTAAGTCATGCCTTGAATTTGTTTTCTGCTTGTACTGTTTTTAACTACACTTCTAATATTAAATTTTAAATAATAAGCGACAATGTTTTAACCAGAACAAGTGAAGATGGTTTTGAATCTTTTGAAGAACAATTTTCAAATACCGCTATACAGTAAGTTATGCCTTGAATTTTGTTTTTTGCTTATATTGGTTTCAACTACACTTTTAATATTAAATTTCAAATAATAAGCAACAATGTTTCAACCAGAACAAGTGAAAATAGCTTTGAATCTTTTGAAGAGCAGGTTTCAAATACTGCAGCACAGTAAGTCATACCTTTTTGAATTGTTTTTTTACTCATATCGCTTTTAAATACATTTTTAAATACCTTCTAATTAGATTTCAAATAATAAGCAGGAGTGATTCAATCAGAATAATGGATGCATCAGCAGTTAGGCAAATATTTGGCAGTTGGGATGAACTCGACTATTTTATATCTCTACGCAAAATCACAAAATTTTGTGAGTGTCATATGTGGATCAGAATATAGTAATGGAATTTGTAGAAACTGCCGATATGCTTATGAACATCAAGGTCATGGTAGCATAAACAAGATTAATATTGCAGAAAATCAATGACAGACGTGAAGCAAACGTACTGAGACTAGCAAGTTCAAGCTAGTTGTTCTAAAACAACTGGCATATTAAAGATCAATTCAGTTTGTTTGAATCACAATGACCACCTAATAACCGAAGAAACTAATAAATTTGCTTTAAAATACCGAATATTTTCTGAAGATATGCTAAGAGACATTAAATTTTGACTGAGACTAGAAATTTAAATATGAGAACACAATACCAAATATTGACAAAACAATACCCAGATGCTTTCTTTTTGCCTCAAGACCTTTCAAATGTTATTCAGATATTTAAACGGCAAAATCACATTGAATATGAGGCAGCTACCTTATTTAATAATCTTTTTAAATGTAAGTCTCAAGACAACAGATGGATTGTAAATTGGAAAGCAGATTCAGCCAATAATTTTCTTACTTCATTGTTTTGGATATTACCTGAACAATATAAATTGTATATACGTTATCAGGATGTTGTTCAGTACGATAATACTTATTTAACCAACCATTTTAAAATAGTACTTGGATTTTTTGTGATGGTAGACAATAATAACCAGTCTCATTTGGTAGAGCAAGTCCTAATGAATGACAAAATGACTGAAAGCTATAAATAGGTTTTACAAACTTTAGTTACAAATATCAGTATAACATCCTTAACAATTATAACAAACAATGATCTTGCTGTTAATGCCACAATTGCTAAAATCCTGCCTAATATGTATCACATTCATTGTATATACCATGTTGGGCAAAATTTAATTAAAAATTTGAAAAGCAAATTAGGTGAATGATTTAATGAATTTTCCAGGGACTGGTATCAAATACGTAATTTTCTTTTTTTTCAACAATTTGATTATTTGTAGAACAAGCTTTTAATAAAGTTCCCAGATAGCGCATCATATTTTGATCATGCTTTATTTAATGAAAAAGAAAAATGGGCTTTATGTTACATTTCTAAAGTTTTACTGCAGGAATGCAGTTAACGCAGCAGGTTGAAGGTTAAAATACTATCATAAAAAATTCTGTAAATAGCAGTACATCTTTAATTAATCTTGCAAAATATATTGATAAACAAATTAGTTGTTCATCTACTTTCATTCAATATAAAAACTAGATTCATTCTGTTACAGGCTCTACACTCACTTATGCTAGCTATGAATTTTTATCTGATATCGATAAATGGATCACGTCTTATTTAATACCAGTTTTCTTGTCTATATAATGACAGGAGATTTCCCAGGCCATATAGTATACGTCATGACTTATTAATAATTTTCAAGAATTGGGATTGTTACCTAATTCAAATGAGCAATCTAATCCAATTAAACCATCTAATTTAACCGAACAATCAGATCTAGCTAAACAATCAGACCAGTCTAATTTAAATGAGATTTACAATATATTTGTTGAAGATTGTGTAGATGTATCTGCCATTTTAATTAAAGAATTAATACTATCTACAAAAGTTAAATCAATTTTAGAAATTTGGAAGATTACATAACATAGATGCAAAGTAAAGAATTATGTTATATTATTCAAAGATAATTCACATTTATGTATATGCCTTAGTTTAGTTCAATATGGCATTATTTGTAGATACTTTTTTAAAATTATGACTGTGTCCAATTACACCACATTCCATATAATGCTTATATCGAGAAGATAGTATATCGATAAAAAACAAATTGAGTCAGAATTACAAACAAATAAGCAACCTTTTATTATTGGATTGGATAATATGACAACTTCAACTGATGTTGAACAAAATTTTCCCAATTTGTCCTTTCATTTGCCAGATATTTCTTTCAGTAATGTTCATGCTAAGTCAACTACCGCCAAGCCTATATTACAATTAATGAATTATCAAAAAAAGCTATTAACATTAGGCTTGATATTGGTTCTAATATATTAAAAGAATTTGAAAATTGTATGAATAGTTTTATCAGTAAATACACACCAAAAGGTAAAAAAAAAGATGACCTACAAAAGGAATATAAGTCAACAGGAAGACGAAGATGAAACATCAAATTCAAGTTCCAGTGACAAAGAAAATTTTATCAAAATTGAAAATCTAATCATAAATTCAAAAAGGGGTGCTTCAAGAAAAAAGCATTTCAAAAGTTCTAGCGAATTAAAAAATAAAAGCAATTCTAATAATAAATATTCAGAAGTACAGAAAACTCAAAAACCAACTCAGTGTTAACAATACCAAAACACAGAACATAACAAGGCTGGTTGTAAAGCATAGCATGAGCAACAGAGTATTTCTTATTCATATTAAATCACATTTATAATAGGTATATTATTAGTGGTAGATTCGTAAAAAATAATTGCTAAAAGTATGTATTACCACTACTGTAATTAGATTTACACAGTTATTATTTAGTAAGTTTGTATGAACTTTTCATGTAAGAATGTACTAGGTTGTATATATCTAAATCAATTTTTGCTTAGCCGCATACAACTCAGTATATTATCGTTACTTGCTATTGTTGTATACACGAATCGATATTTTTATTGCATTAGTTTGAATATAAGAGTTAGGGTAAGGGTTAGTTCGGGTTAGAGTAAATATTAGTTTGGGTAGAGTAAAGGTTGTTCGGATAGAGTTAGTTTTTGGTTAGTGTTAGATAATTGTTAGTTTTTTCTTAGATATTGTATCAATATGGTCATGTAATGTTGGTTATAAGACTCAATATAAAATCTAGTCTAGTAGTATATAATTGGTCTATCTAATTACACAATATACTATATACATAATAGGTTTAAACCAATTATATATATTATGTGATGCAGATATATATATCTTCAGATACATGTATATAAACCTATAAATTTATATTTAAAATAATTTATCAAATAAAGTATTTATAAAAAAAGCAAAAAAATTAATTAGTTTTAAAATCTAATTTATAATTTAGTAACAAATTAACAAATATCTAAGATAATTGTTTTAAATAAACTAATAGTTTAAAATTTGAAAGAAATAGTAACAATTTATATATATTTTTAGTTACTTTTTATCATTTTTAGTATTTTTATTTTTCTTATTATCTAATTTTGAGTTGTATAAAAAATATTAGCAAAATATTAAAACTAGTAAATATTTTTTTTAATTAAAAATAACTTAGTATTTACAGAAAAAAAATTTAAAAATAAATTTATCTTTGTCATAATTATAAAAAATATTTGTTTTAATTTTTAATTTTTTTCTTTTATTAATAAATAATTACTATATTACTACACTATTAATATATAATTTGAAGTTATAAGATAATTTGCAAAATTATATACTTTAATTTTAATTTAAAAAAGAATATATAATTACTTAATAAAATCAAATATAATTGTACAAAATTGAAAAAAGAATTTTAACAGATAAATTAGCCTGCTAAATAATTTAAAAAATAAAAAAAATTACTTATCTTATAAGATTCTAGTTACTAAAGTTACAGAGATCCTGTTCTAACTAATTGTCAAAAAACAATAACTATTATACAAGTAGAATTTTTAAATTTTATCATCAGTAGATTTTAAACCTTCTACTTAGTCAACATACCGTTTAGAGATACAACAACTTAACTACTTACTAAATTGTCACACTCTTAGCTCTACAATTTTTACTTAATCTAAAAGAGTAATTAATTTAGTATACAAAAGTTTTTCTTAAGTAAACACTATATTCAAAGTATATATAAATTATATAGTGATCTGTATTATATTATACTATGATTATATACTAGATAATTAGCAAATCACTAATTAATTTTTTATAGATTAGTTTTATTAAAATATCTAATAGTAAAGATTAGAACATTAACAAGATTAGAAGATCATAAAGTATTTATGCAATGTATAAGTTATATAAAGGTATATAAGCCAGTATTAAGCAATACAAACTCAAAATAAGTCTTTGTGATTGTATAAAACCAAGAAACCAGAAAGATAAATGCTTGCTTAGCAAGACCTAAGTAGAGAAATAGTACAAACTTTTGATAATAGCTACTAGAATAGGCTTATCTAAGAATAGTTAATTGGACAAGACAAGAATACTGGCAAGTTGCTTTACCAACTAGACTGCCAGAACATTGACCAGAAAAAAAAGATTAGCAGATATCAGAAGACTAGTATTCTTTCTGAATTAGTAGTCTAGAGAGATGAGCTAGAGAAATTTAAAAAAGAAAAGTACCAAATTATCTTGAAGATAAAATACTGAGTTTGAGTAAACTCTACAAGAGCAGAAGTAAGTAATAATAGTAGCTTTGGCTTATAAGTATTTTGTTCTTAGACTCAGCATAAATACTGAAGTCTAGATTAGCTAGATTATAAGTACAAAAGCTCTAGCAATAATGCTTTAAGGATAAATTAGTCCTAAAGGTACAGGGAAGCATCCAGAAATTCTTAACTGATGATTATAATAGAGATATTCTAGTGATACAAGTAAGGTTGTATTATAAAGAGTTTAAATAGATAATATCTGTAGTTAGATTACAAGTATAGTATTTAGTATAACAGCTAATACTGAATTTTGGCTGATGCTAAATTTAATTAATCTGATTGGTTAGGATTAGAGTAATTTGCAAAATTTAGCTAATAGAATTTTTTAGATTTAATATTAGCCAAAAGTCAGCATTAGCTGTAATATTTAGTATAGAGCCTATATAGGCAGACTACTTAAAATAGATACTAAAAGTATATGTGTATCTAGTATATACTCTTTAATATAAGAGTTTTTAATAACTCTCTATCTGAAATCTTGAATAAAAACTTTAGCCTCAAAGAGGCTAGTTCAAAAAAAAATTTAGAGCTTATTAAAGCATATCTAATAGTAATAAGAATATCAAAAAATGATCTAGTAGTTACTAAGATATCACTAAAAAATAATTAGCTAACTATATATAATTCTATATAAACAAACTATTATTTATATAAAAATTTTATATAGTTAGCCAATTATTTTTTAGTAATATCCCAACAACTACTAAACTATTTTTAATATTTTTATCACTATTAAATATATTTTAATGAGCTTTACAATTTTTTTTTTCAGTATTAAGATGAGGTCTTGCTTATATCTTTATTAATAGTTTTTATTATAGTAACTATAAGAAGTTGCTAACCTTAATATATAAAATATAAAAAGTAAAAACTACATGCAAGAATAAAAGCCCAGACTACTTTATTCATGACCTAAACCTACTAGAGTGGTCAAAAACTCACCTAAGTTTTTTAAGAAAAAATAAATGTAGAGTAAATAAAGTATTTAGTTGAATGAATTTAAAAGTAAGGCTAAATTATAAAATTTGTGTATTTAATAGTATAAAGTTATAAAATTTAATGAAAAATACTAGATTATATTTAGTATGTAAAGTTATAAAATGTATAAAAGATGATAAAATATATAAGGATATATAGTTAAAGTGTTGAAGTATAAAGTATAAAGTAAGTTTTAAATTAGAAAGAGGCTTTTATCAATATTAGAAATTGTAAATTTTGGAGTAGATTTATTAGAATGATATTGTTGTTGTTTATTAATTTTAGAAGTTTTAGATTTTGTAGTAGAACTAATCAATTGTTGTTGTTGTTATAATTGTTGTTAATTTTGTTGTTATTGTTATTGTTGTTGTTGTTATTGAGTATTAGAATTTGTGGCCATAAAATCTGTATATGATATGTTAGAGATAAAGATCTTGAACTTTTTAATTATATATTGATTTGCTTAGTCAAGATATGATTTCTTGAGATTTCTTTTAAAATTTGCAATAGTTGGTTTAAAAATTTGAGTAATAAGCTTTACAATTTTTATTTAATTTAGAAAAGTGATTAATTTAGTAAAAAAAAGATTTTTATTGGATAAATATCACATTTGAGATATATAGTCTACTCTCTCAAAACTGATTCTGTCAAAACCAATAACCTGTTATATGTGATAAAAAATTGGTTTACCATATCTGTTTTATAATTCAAATCTGATAACCTGCTATTTCTTATAACTGATATTCAAATAATCAGATACCTATAAGATATTGGGGTTGTCGAGTAATGTAAATCAATTTGATTAGCTCAAATTGAGTTTTGTATAACCAAGTAGATATATAATAAATATAATCTAGCCAATTATATTTATTTATAATCATGTAACTAGTAAGCTATTAGTATCTTAAATCTGATAACCTCTCAAAATTGATACAAAAGCTATCCACTATGTCTATCAGATTTGAAAGAGTATATTATATATGATTTATATAGTAATCTGTATTATATTATACTATGATTATGCATTAGATAATTGGTAAATTACCAACTAATACTAATTTAAAAATAAAATATAAAAAACTCATTATTTATTTTACAAAAGATATAGAAACTATTTATATTAATGCTCTTAATTTTAATTTTTACTGTTTAGTTTTTAGTAAAACAAGTTTATAAAAAGTTAATATTAGTTTAAAAAATAGAAAAAAATTAGATTTATTTTGTAAAAAGATTATTTATATTTAAAAGTTTAATTCCAATTATTATTATTTAGTTTTTAAAACAAATTTATAAAAAAGATAATATTTGCTTAAAAAAACTATTTATTTTACAAAATTTTGTTCTTAATTTTATTATTTAATTTTTAAATTTAGCTCTAAATCTAAATTTAGATTAATAAAAATAAACAGTAGTACTAAATTGTATTACTAGTATCTAATACCAGTATACTATGTAATATAAAGATTATTATTAAAATAAATAAAATTTAATTAATATTAGAGTTAAAGCTAAAGCCTATAATAGAGCAAAAGTATAGTTTATATCAAAATTTTACAAAGAATTTTTTTTATTAGAATACAAAAGTAGTTTTATAAGCAAAAATTTTAAGTTATTAAAGATTTTTTAAAAAATAACAAAGTTTGTTTTAATTTTTATATTATATCTAATCTTGATATTATATTGCAGATTAATAATTTTATTGGTTAAAATTAATATAGTATTAAGCACTACTTGTATAATTTAGTAAAACTAAAAATAAAAATCAAAAATAATTCTAAATTTAGTACTAAAACTACTAATAGAAAATATATTTTTTATAAAAGATATCTATAATTTTTTAATAAATTAATTTATAAATATTATTAACTATATTCTTTAGCTATTTACTTTTTTGATAGTTACTTGTACCAACTAATTACTGAAAACAAGTTGAAGACCCAAGACCAA